GAAGCTCAATGCTGATGATGATTAAGGCTTTCTATCTTCCTGTTCTTCCACTGGTAGCTGTTGACTTTTCATCTTCAATCTTATTGCCTCATGGTTGCAAGATGCCAATATCTGCTGGATATCTAGGCATAACTGGATCTACTTTCAAGGCAAGAAGTTTGGAAAAGGGCCAAGGCCAGCAAACCCTCCCATTGCATCTGCCCCTTCTATGAGAAAGGAAAGGTTCTCCCAGAATGTTTTCCAATCCTCTCCCCCATTACACCCCGACACCCACCATGCATACACATACCTTACAGACCTCTGCTTGTGTTTCATTGACCAAAACTACATCATATGCCTATACTTAAATGCGAAAAATCTGGGAAAGTGAGTAATGAGCCTGTCTAGCCTCTGTAGTAGGGAGGGGGCAAGGTAGAAGGGGACTGAGAAGAGTGTTAGCAGTCAGCTAATGAGCATCATCTGCCACAGTCACTGCGCAGCATGTGGCATCTATCCTAGGCAGTGCACTAAGACAAGCCATCTACTGGAAGACTTGACTGTCTATGGATAACCATCTTCAAGCCAGGGATTGGTCTGTTATGATCAGATGTCAGCATGAGAGCTAAGAAGAGGGTTGAGTGCAGGGCAAGAGGCAAGTGCTTTGTTGAGTACCAGTATGATATCCAAATATCTCGCTAAATTCTTATCAGTGACCCAATTATAGCTTAGCCAGCCATAAATTCAGCTATACCTGCTTCAGCCCCACACCTCTTTACAAGTTTGTTTTGTACATCGTATATGTATTTAACAGGTGGCCACAGACATTGGTTCAGCTGTTCAACGCTGACATTGATGATTCAGGATTATAAACATAACCATAATGTTGATGATTCAGGATTATCAATATTCCATAAATATTAATGTAGTAATAGGCACTTGTCTAGGTGCTCGGGATCTGACAGTGAAGAAAACAAATTTTTTAGTGAAAGAAGGAGACTACTAAAACAAAATTTTATATGCGTGTGTATATATACACATGTATTTATGTATGCACACACATGCATTTCTTTAAATCTCAGATTAAGTCCCTGTTTATGCACCTATAATCCTATTATGCTCCTTGGTAACAATTACTGCAATTTCAGTAATTATTTGTGAAATATATATGCCTGTATGAATATATTCATATTTCATATACAATATATTCATAGTTAATTCATATTTAAAAGCTATATTAAATTTCCAATAGAATCTCCAGATGGTAATTAGTACTATAGAATAAACAAAGTTAAATAAGGGACAGTGTAAAGGCATGGGTAGCGTGTGGCTGTAACTGACAGACTAATCAGGGGAATTTAGAGCTATATTCTTCAGCCACAAACCTTTACACTGTCTCCTTTAAAGGGAAGCTGGCAGACATTTCTGCTCTGGAGAAAAGAGGAAGGAAATTCACTGTGCTCAGAGCCAAAACGCAGTTTTTGCTGCACACCAAAGCTCAGTTCTCATCAGATCATATTTCTAGTTTCTTCAATTATTTTATATGGCCTATTAACTTGAAAGCCATATGAGTGTGGTCTTCAAAATGTAGCCTTGTTCCTGAGCAGCACTTCAGTATACACTTGGCTTTGGAATGATCTACGCTCCTCCCCAACTTGTTTTCTTGATTTAAAAAACTAATCTGAGGCTCTAGTGGGGACCAGTGTATGCTTGGATATTCTCCAGCCCTTAGGCACTGGAAATTTACCAGGGAAAGCTGGCACTGCTCATTTGTTTCTGTGTTAGCTGTATGAGATTTTTATATGGGATTTTAAAATACAGTTTACTGATCTTCTTCCTACATCTCTCATTAGTCTGTGGCCACCCCCATCTCTTAACTTTATTCGGGTTAATTTTTGCTTATCCTTCAGGTCATAACATAATGGTAATTTCCTTAAGAAAGAATTTCCCTAAGTTCACACACAGTGGCTCACACCTGTAATCTCAGCATTTTGAGAGCCTGAGGAAGGAGAATCATTTGAGCCCAGGAGTTTGAGACCAGCCTGAGCAACACAGCAACAAGATCCCAGCTCTACAAAAAATTTGAAAATTAGCCAGGCATAGGGCCAGGTGTGGTGGCTCATGCCTGTAATCCCAGCACTTTGGGAGGACAAGACAGGCAGATTGCTTAAGCTCAGGAGTTTGAGATCAGGCTGGGCAAGATGGCAAACCCCATCTCTACAAAAAACACAAAAAAATGCCTGTGGTCCCAGCTACCTGGGAGGCTGAGGTGGAAGGATGGCTTGATCCCAGGAGGTGGAGGTTGCAGTCAGCTGAGATTGTGTCACTGTACCCCAGCTTGGGTGATACGGCCAGACCCTGTCTCAAAAAAAAAAATTTAGCCAGGCATGGTGATGTACACCTGTAGTCCTAGCCATTTGGGAGGCTGAGGCAAGAGGCTCACCTGAGCCCAGGAGTTCGAGGCTGCAGTAAGCTATGATCATGCCACTGCACTGCAGCCTAGGTGACAGAGTGAGACCCTGTCTCCAAAGAAAGAAAAAAGAAAAAAACGAATTTCCTTAAAATGTAGACTAAGTTACATTCCTGTTTATGCTCCTTTAATCTCTTCCCACTGCCCTCCTTGGGAATGATGATCACATTTTCAGTACTTGTATAATTCCTTATTTAACAGCTATCTCTCTCAGTAGGCAGTAAGCTCCATGAGGGCAGGGGCCATGTTTGTCTTGCTCAAGTCTTTATCTCAGTGCCTCACCATGTCCATCACACACAGTATCCCTCGATAATATTCAGGCAATTAATAAATATCTTTAGTCTACAAATGACTAGCACAGTCTTCAGAACAATAGGTAGGGTTGTGGGCACTGTGATTGTGAAGGTTGCACAGATTCCTCTCAGGACTGAGTTCTGTCCCCTTCCTGATGCTCGGAGTGCTGCTAGTAGACACCCTCAGCTGTCAGCCTTCCTCTGGGGAATGCCTCTGTGAAAGAAATAGCCCCAGAATCATGTGCCATTTCAGGGACAGTTTGTATTCAATGACTAATCAGTGCTGGGAGTTAAGGCCCAGCCCCTCATACCAACTCGAGACACTTTGACAAGGCCATCCCAGCTTCAGAGCTCCCCTTGGGAGCCTCTATTGGGATGGCATCACAGATCAACTTCTTCCTCTGCTCTGCTTCCTCCACCTCCCCTTCACAGAGGTTTATTCCAAGAACACTCCCTAATCAATGCCTTATACCTTAATCTTGGCCTCAGACAGAATTTACCACCAGGGTAACCCAACCTGTGATGAATGCTACAAACATGTTTACAAACTGGATATCATATTTTGTCCTCCAAAAACTCCTAAACAGTAAAGATCAGTTATTTATCTTTGCATCCGTACAATGACTAGAAGGTGTCTTCCATATAGCGAACATCAGAAACACATCAAAGGGAATATTCTCCCTAAACTTAGTCAAGATCGAGCTAAATTCTTCTGATTCAAAGTGTGGTCCTATTGAAAGGGGCATTGGCATCCCCTGTGTATTTTGTCCAAAATACAAAATCTCAAGACCCAGCCTGATTTAGAACTACTGAATCCAAATCTGCATTTTATCAGATGGTTCACATGTATTTGAAGTTTGAGAAGTACTGAGCTAAGGGATTTATTTGTTTTTTCTTTTTTTCTTTTAGAAATGCTTGTCGTTTCTGCACATTGATTTTGTATTCTGAGACTTTGCTGAAGTTGCTTATTAGTTTAAGGAGATTTTGGGCTGAGATGACAGGGTCTTCTAAATATACAATAACGACCTGGCTGATAATTCCTCTAGTTTATATAGTGTCTTTATAAAGTTTTCCCTCTTTAAAATTTTCCTTAACACTAGTAATCATGCACTCTTTCCCTCAACAAATACTAATTCAGTGCCAAGTAAAGATGTCAGCTCTATGGAGCTTACACATTAGAAGGAGAAGAAAAAAACAAATAGCAAGGTGTATATCATAGTGTGCAGCAAGGTGTATATTATAGTGTGCAGCAAGGTGAAAGGTGCCAGGAAAAAGCAGCAGGCTGGAGTAAGGAGGAGGAGAGGGTGAGTTGCAATTTAAAATTTTTACAGTCATGATACTCAGCAGGTGAGAGCATTAGACACAACCATGTTTGAGCACAAGCGCTGAATGACTTAGCAACGTGGCTGCAGTGGCATGGGAGAGATGGAAAATAACAAAGTCAGAGAGGCAAGACAGCAGACTTCTTCAGGTGAGGCTGCCTAATAAACTGTGATTTGACACTGAATTGCTGAGAAGGTAATGCAAATCGTTTTTTCTCCAAGAACAAAGTAGTTCTTGGCCAAGCCGATTTGATTTGGGCTGTAGGAATGTGCACAAACCATGTCACTGGCTAAGCCTTAGCTTTCCCAAATGAAAAGTCGGGGATTGGAAACGGTCTTTAAAGTCGCTTTCTATTTTAAAAATGTCAGGCTCCAAGACATCTATGTGAAATCTAAGATGGTAAAACAAAGATTGTGGTTGGGCTGTGGCCTAATGCAAACTTTCGCAACCCCAGGATACTGAAAAAAACTGGAAGAATTGCGGAATGGGGTGCCAGGCTGAAAGATCTTAACCTTTGCATTGAATTCCTCCCCCACCCAGAAACCCAAGTCCCGACAGCTGGGCGCCTTGCTCTCTGAGAGATGCAGCGCCTGACCCCGCCTCCCGCAGCTTCCCGGACTTCGCCCCGCCCCCGCCCTGGTCCCGCCTCCCGCCTCCCGCCTCCCGCCTCCTGCCTCCGCCGGCCTAGACCCGGCTACGGAAGTGACGCAAGGCCGAAGCTGGAGGGCCGCGCCGGGCCCGCAATTGCTCCGGATGGAACCCGGCGTCTGTCGGTAGCAGCATGGCTCTTCTCGTTCTCCTGACCCTTGCCATGCAGGGTGTGAGCAGGGCTGAGATGGGCACCGCGGATCCAGGGCCGTCCTCAGGTATCATCGTTCGCGGCGGGGCTGCGGCCGGGTCGCGACGGGAGGGACGGCGGGATCCGCCCCGGTCGGGAAGCCCCGCCCCGGTTCTCCGCGGTCTCGTTCGCCCCGGACCCCCAGCGTCGGGTCCTGAGCTGGTGACGGACGCGAGGCGGGATGGCGAAACCGGGTCCCCATGGCTTGCACTCGTCGGTTAACTTTCTCCTGCCTCTCGTCTGGTTGCCACCACAACAAATCACGCCTCTTGTATTTGCGGCTCTTGTAATCCACTTTTAAATACGGTTACGCGCTGCAGAAGGACGTTGCCGGTCTACGCGGGACAGCATGATCTCTTAAGATTATAATACCGTCTTCTTGCTGTACCGTTTCTCTCGTTAGATACGCAGATACTCACTAGTGTGCTGCAGTTACCTGCAGTGTTCAGTGCAGTAACAGGTTGTACAGGTTCGTGGCCTAAGAGTCCTAGGCTGTGTCATCTGGGTTTCTGTAAGTGCACTGCTGTCCGAAGAAACTGCCTAAGGGGCCATTTCGCCATTTCTCCATTTCTCAGAACGCATCTCCGTCGTTAAGTGACGCATGACAGTGAGTGTCGTGGTCAGCAGTGACATCGCGCTCTCATTTCTTGGCTTAAATACTTGATGCTTAGCGTAGAAGTGTATACATTCCATCGCCAACTGAGAAGTGGCAGTATCTTGTTTGTCTTAAATGTCTCAGTCTCGAAGTGGTGGAATGCGAGCACTCACTAGTAGGTTTGTCTGGCAGTAGGTCTTCTTAGAGATTTGTTCTTCGGAGCATTTTATTTCCACCTGCTTATTGACATTTTCTAGGAAACAAATGCTGAGGATGGCTTTTCTGAAACTCAGAGTAATTGTGATTAGGATCTCCAGTGAAATCCATTAAGTTTTTTATTATATCATGATTCATGATTCATACGAACTTTGAAAGGTCCACGTTTTGCTTCTGTTTTCACAACAGTCCTCTAGAGTAGGCGTTATTTGTCTCTCTCATTATGGATGAGAAATTGAGTTACGGAGAGGTCTGCCCTACTGGCAGAGAGGTCATGGCCAGTCAGTGGGGAGCTGCTCAGTTTGGCTTGAGTCCAAGTTCTTTTTTTTTTTGAGATGGAGTTTCGCTTCTGTTACCCAGGCTGGAGTGCAATGGCGCAATCTCGTTTCACCGCAACCTCCGCCTCCAGGGTTCAAGCAATTCTCCTGCCTCAACCTCCCAAGTAGCTGGGTTTACAGGCGCACCCCACCATGCCCAGCTAATTTTTGTATTTTTAGTAGAGACAGGGTTTCACCTTGTTGACCAGCATGGTCTCGATCTCTTGACCTCGTGATCCACCCGCCTCGGCCTCCCAAAGTGCTGGAATTATAGGGGTGAGCCACCGCGCCTGGCCTAGTTCTTAACTGCTCTGCCAGGATCAAGTCAGTTATCTATATGGGCAACTGCAGTACTTTGCGGTAAGAGCTTGAATTCAGGAAAGCAAGGTGGGGTGCTTGTCTCTTCCAGGGAAGTCAGTAAAGACTTCACAGAGGTGACCCCAGGAACCAGAATTGCAGAGACTGAGGTGCAGAGGTGTTGAATTCGTGGAATTTTAAGCGTTTTATTGTAAACTGTGTATAGGAGAGGTTACAAGGGGAGATAGGTTAAGTGGAGAGGCAGGAACCAAATAATGAATTGCCATTTATGTGTACCAGCAAGAAACCTAGCTTTACTAATAACTCAAGCAAAAACAGGAATTTATTGTTTCAGAGAAGCCAGAGTTAAACAGAAAATTAGAGATGCCAGCTGTGTCTCAAGAAGCTAGAACCCAGGTACCCGCTGCTAGGACTCTCCGTTTCTTATTTCTAACTGTCTGGATATTGACTGCTTTCCACACTTGCTGGGAATCATAGATTCTAGCTTCTGGGTTTTGACATCTTGCTGCCTCCTCCAGGGAAAAGCTCTGATTTGCCTAGCTAGATTAAGGTGTCAGCTTGCATGGGAAGGACATTCTCGTAGAGGGTGGGGTCAGGGAGTTACCAGAGGAAGCAAAATAGTGTGCCTGAAAGCAGCACAGGTGTTGAGCCAAAGAAATAATACACCCACTCTGCCTCGCAGAAGTCAGTCATTACTAACGCTGACATCATTGGATTATCTTACAAAGGGAAATGATTTTATGCAGGATCGGATATGCCATTTAGAAAGACCAGTTGTCTTATTAAATAGTTTTAGGGTAGACACAAGGCCCATTAGGAGTCTGCTGCTTACCTTGGAGTCAATTAGAAGTAGTTTAAATGGAGAAGAGGACAGTTAGAAGAAACATTTAGAAGGAAGTGTCAGTAGGCCTCTGACTGGATGTCAGCAGAGAAAGAGATCATGCTAGCTCAGGCATAGTGTTAAAGCAAGTGCCAGCTCTTCCTTCTGAGTACAGGGCCCTCCAGAGCATGTGACCCATATGAGTGCACAATTTGCACATCCCTGTAGCCTGCCCTGGGAGGAGGATTGCCTGTCTGCTTCCCATGAGAAGATCAACTGTGGCCTTCTATATTCTGCAGAAACTTTAAAATTTGTCTCTGCCCTTCTGGCTCTAAAACTGGAGTCACCTTTGTGAAGTCTTTACTGACTCCCCTAGAAGAGATAAGTACCCCTGCCTTGCTTTCCATTCGTTTCAGGGAGCCCTCTTTTTAAAGTGCCTTTCTAACACATTTCTCTAGATTTTTCAGTGCATTTCTCTAGATTGTATTGTGCCCCTGTTCTTTTAAAGTTAATTTAAAACACAAAATCTCAAAGTAGGAAGAATCCCACAATGCTGAGGCTCTTGTTTAGCCTCCTAGCCTTATTCTTACTGTTGTTGATAAGCTTGACTATATAGTCGAAGTTAGTCTTAGGTGAGAGAACCTGGTAAGAACAGGGAAGCAGACAAGAGAATATGGTGATATAGTCAGTCTCCAGGAAGTCCAAGTGTTTAGGAATGTATTGTTTTACATTCATGGGCTTTCATTAATATTTAAGTGAAAATAGCATCTATGTGTGCCACTTAATCAGTAGTATTTCATTCTTCATGCACTTTTACACTTAAAAGTAGTATATGTATATTTTTAAGTGAATCAGAGTGAACTGGCTTTCTTCATCCAGTTTGGGGTCCCATGCTGAGTAATAGCTGCAGAGCCAGACAGGACTTTACACCAACTGGAAGGCTTTTCACTGACCTTATACAGCTTATCAGCTATGCTTCCTACTGATTATCTGACTTTAGTATCCTAATGCTCTGGGTACTGTTTAAATTTTTTTTTTTTTTTTTTTGATTCTGTAGTTATTTCAAAGATTCAAAATACACAGGATAATATATTTTAATTATATTTATTGAATGGGGTATTAAATTTTCTTTTTCATTTTATTCTGATTCATGATTCTTACAGACTTTGAAAGGACATTTTAGTTCTATATAAAAGAAAATGGGCTGGCGGCAGTGGCTCACGCCTGTAATTTTAGCACATTGGCAGAATGATCACTTGAGTCCAGGAGTTCACGAACAGCCTAGGCAACATGGCAAAACCCTATCTCTACAAAAAAATACAAAAATTAACCCTGTATGGTGGCATGTCCCTATAGTTATAGCTACTGGGGAGGCTGAGGTCGGAGGATCACTTGAGCCCAGGAAGTCAAGGCTGCAGTGAACCGTGATTGCACCACTGCACTCCAGCTTGGGCAACAGAGTGAAACTTTGTCTTGTGTGTGTGTGTGTGAAAACCTAAAGAAGAGAAAAGTAATAGTTTTAAACAGCTATCTTACAAAATTTGGCAGCATACCAATAGTGCAGTTGCTTTACAAACTAGATGAGTAATTAATGGTTTAATTTTGATTGAACAAAGAATCAAAAATGAGGTTTGAGCCAGAATGAATTCCTGACAGAAAGAAATTGGTTTACTTGTAATTTTCTTATTAAAGGGATGTCTTTATTTTAGATTATCCTGATGCACAGTAATCAAAATACTAGGTATCTATTTTAGTCTTGTGCATTCTTAAGAAATTATTCATTTTAATACATTGTTCAACTTTTGCAGTGGCCATGATGTAATTGAGATAATGTAATAAAATCAGGAAACATTACTTGAAGCAGGTGCTTGTGAAGTCACCAGAAAATAGTCCTCTCCAATTCCAATTTAAATATGGAGGTTATTTACCCCTTATTTTATTAAGTGATCACAAAGAGGTTGGAAGCATTTTTCTTAATTAAAACCAGGAAATCTTTTCATATTGTCAAGTCATTATATAACTTTTCTAAGGCTTTATTTTCTCATTGGTAAAATATGTGTGATAATACTGTCTCCCTCATGGGATGGAGACATGAGGGAGACAGTATTACCTGTGAAAATGCATTAAAAAGGTGAGCACGTTGTATGTCTTATACTAAATACTTAATACATTAGGGATTATCATTCAAGAATGTGCATTACTATTTTAACAAATATATCTTTAAATATTAAATTGCCTTAGTCATATGTGAGAAATTGTGTTGGCTTTAAAAAAAAACAAACATAACTAGATCAATATGAGAAATTTAAAATAGGCTCAGCAGCAAACTCATTCTTCCATCTCTTAAAACAGACGAAAATGTTTTTTGTAGACTGAAAAGGCCTGCATTTTTTTTTCTCTAAACTATTTCTCAATTCAGACCGAGTTAGTCCAAAAGAGAATTAGTGTTGAGAAACGATGTCTCTCGGGGACTAGATTGGTCTGGTCCAGTCAGAATTAAAGCCATGCCAAACCCAACTAGATAAAACTGGATAAATAGGAGTAAGAATAAAGCCCTAGATTTTAAGTCAGAAAAATGGCTGAGCAGATATTTGTTGGATAAGCCCTCTGTTGGTGGTGGTGTGAGGGAAAAATATAGGCAAGGTTAGTTACTTACAGGTTTGTTGCAGGCCACTATGTGTTATGCCTGGCTCTTTAAAAATAAAAATTCAAATTAGAAGATTTCTATGAACACTTGAAACATCACGTGCAAGAATTCTCAAAACGTCCTTACGCAGCTTAAATCTGGGGGATGCGGCTCCTTGCTAAGGAGAAAGTTGAAATGCATTAAGAAAAATAGCCATTTTATCAGCACTGGAAGCCATTCTGGAGGTAAATTGTAATCAAAGATATCCTAACAGAAATACAAAGGCCTAGATTTGGTACTTTTCATTTATTCAGTTTGGATTTCTTATGCTGGTTCTGTTTGCCGTGTGGACGAAACTTTCCTGACAGTCTCCATTCGTGTCCCTGTATCTTTAACTTGGTGAAGGTGTTAGATCTTTTCTGAGAGTTGTTCTTTTGTCAAAGATCCAGATCCTTTATTTGGGAACATTTGTTTTTGGGCTGTAGTGCCAGAGGACTTAGATGCAGAACAACAGTTTATTTCATCCTCACTTTCTTATGCTTTTCAGTGTGCTCTTCGCATGGAAGAGGTTGGTGAGCAGGCTGTCGGATGATTTCTGCAGAATCCATAGCCCTGTTGCACCACAGGTGTACATACCTTTCATACATTCTTTGTATATTTGTATGTTAAGATGGGTGATGAATTCTTTGGGCTAGTTTTTTGTGTTGTGTTTTTT